AAGTGCGAGGATGGTAGGGTTGTCCTCGGGGGTTGGGAGTCTTTAGGGCCAGTAGGTAGTGCCCGATGGTTTTCCCTTTCCCTCAAGCTTGAGGATGCACCCTATCTCTTTGACTCCGAAGGCCGCTCACAGTGGGCATCAGCGTCCGCGGAACTTCTGGCCACGCTTGCAGCCTTACACTTGTTTGATCACTTGAAACCAGCCCAGAGGCTGAGACAATTTCCAGTAGTGATTCCGGCCATTCACGGACAATAAAGGCAACGAAGCACTTTCCCGGAAACAAAGTTCCACCAAATGGCCGCTCATGCTAATCAACATCCAACTTTCCCATCACTTGATGAAGGCTATGCTTAAGTTGGATCTCAGGTGGCGCCCCCGAGGGGAAAATCAGGACGCGGATGACTTGACAAATCAGAAATATGGCAATTTCAGCTCAGAGAAGAGGATTACGTGCGAACCAGGTGACCTTCCACTCAGCTTGTTAAACAAACTTTGGGATACCAAGGCTCAGTTCGATAAGATGCGTCGTCAGTTGACGTCCTCAGATCAGGCCGAGGCCACAGGTCGCAAGAGGCCACATGAGAAGTCAGTGTGGTAGCGCCCACGCAAGGTGGGAGGGTGCTGATTGCGCAACCACACGGGTTTCGCATGCGGCATCTAGAGGCAGCTACCACCATCCAGAGAAAACGAAGGTTGTGCGTCTGCATTTGTACATGTCCATTCTTCTGCACCTGTGATTGAGTGATACAATTTTACACATTTGAGTCTGGATGATGAATAATGTATTTGATGGAGTACTATTTGAAATGAGTGGGTGAAAATACTTTGCATTGATTACCAAGATATTGAGTTTTGATGATCCCCAAAACCCATTGAACCATAACCCTGAAAACAGTATGAAAAGGGCTATATAAGGGACATGGAGTAGTTACTATAAAGGTACAAGTATACTTGCAATTAGCCTATAAGTATATGTAACTATGTAGCACAGTTACCCTAACTCCTTTCCTAACTCGGCATATGTAGATATAAGTTAAGCAAATGGTTACAAACAAATATAATTTCAGCCTCACACTTATAAGTCTGGCAATATACTTGTAATATACTTGTTCCTTTTGAAGTAGATATAACTCAGGTTGCTGAAGTTATAAATCTTGTTAGCGGGTTTAGTATCTCCGTCAAGCCCTGCATGTACTTAGTAAACAGCACGATCCTCCAAGTACTCCATAGCCGTAATGAGGTTTAACGAGCATCCGCGCCTGCCAGCACGTGATGCCTGCCAGCACGAGATAAACGACCAATGCTTGCATGACGTTCATAGCCCGCCCATGCCGACCTTTACCGGCCGCAAAACGTGTTTCCACAATGCAATACAGCGTGATTGTTTTAATCTCGTAATTAGACCACAAAGTGAAAAAAACACGAAGGCGCAACGCTGACAGTCGTGGAACATATTCGAGGCTTGGTTATGTCGAACTTAAGAATAACTTCAAATGCTGTGACGGCGATGCCTCGCTTGCGAAACCGCCCAAAAACTGCATACTTGAGCCGTTCCTATACTCGGAATACGTGAACCCAAGTAGAGCAGACATATGCAGACATATTCCCAGGAGGCGCATGGCTCGGGCCAGTCAGGCAAGGGAGTTATACGTAGACTCCCGGCGCAGGTTGCGGCGGCCTACGCAGCAACCCTTCTTATGGCTTGGTAGATTTCGCGTTAACAAAAAGGTGTCATAAATAAATTCTGGGCTCGCAAGCGGTCACGGGCAAGTCAAGATTACAGTTGCAAACGGCCGCAGTAAACCACTCGTAGGCGTTTGCAAGACGGCTTGCAAGGGGAGCCGGCGATGTCATACCTATTATCCTAAGGGGAAAACCCCATACACAATCCTGTCCACACCACGAAATCCCAGGCTCTAGCATAAACGGCAAAATTTGTGCCCTCCAGGGTGAGCAAGCGGCAGCGAGCGAAACGATTTGAGCGGAATTACATTTGTTGGGGATTTTGCGCGTTCGTCTTGTTGTCGGCCATATCGGCCGCGCAACGATGGAACTAGAAAGCTGTTCCCTGGCCCAATGTTGTTCTTGGTTCACGAGTTGATGGAAAGATCCAAATACAGAAACCAAAAATGGTCCAATGGATTGAGACAATTAAGATATTTTGAAAATTCTACACTAGGCGTTTGTCTCTTAACCCCAAGTTCATGGTGAAGACCGCAACCATCTTGCCATCCTGCTCGATTCCAAAATCCGGATACATTCAAACGAATCAGGCTCATCTTTGGCAGCAAGGTGCGCATCAAAAAGAAGTCATGGTATGGTTGCATTGGTTCTGGAAAGCTTGCTGTTTCTGCAAGCTTTCAAATGTTGAGGATGCGGTGTTCTGCAGAGTTTTTGCTAGGAAAAAAACGAATGTTACGGTCAGGTTCAAACAGGCATGACTTTGTAGATCAGTTTGTTGCTGTGGTGGCAAAAACGTTCCGCATGACCATGGGACAGCATGTTCAGCGCGGCTGACTCGCTACTTGGGCATTCCAGCAACGGATTCGGCATGCATGCATGTGTGGGTTCTGGTCCAAAGAATTGTAGATTACGAGCAGTTGCCGTTTAGGACTTGGGCATTCAGCTGTGAGAGGCTTGGTTGCAAACGAGCACTTCTGATAAAAGCCTCATGCTTCAAACGTCTCTACTGTCGTTTCAATGGTCATTCGCAGGTGCTGGGATGAGGCATGCCGTGGGCAGCTAGCAAAGCCGCTGGATGAACCCAAACATGTCCAAACAGATTTTGTGAATTGCCTGCAGCTGTTTAGGCTTGGAAGCCTGCTCCGAAGTTTTCTGATGTAGTTTTTGACAGATTTTGATGGGGGGAAGCTAAAGAACACGCCTTCCCAATTGAGTCTTTGTCAAACCGTAAAGAGTACATGTTTTTTTTAGCTCTGCTTTTAACATGTCTCTGCCGCGTGCCTCGTTCCTGGCCGGCTTGATTTTGGCATGCCGAAGTGCAAATCCTTGACGCTCGGTATCCTTGGTGCAGTCCAGATCTTGTGCAAAGGGTTGTAAGTGAAACACACGTGAAGGCACAGGGTTTGCGAAATGTTTGCATGAACTTAGCATGCCATGCATTAGCAGCTTGCATTTGTTCAGGCTGGTCTGGAGAATTCAGTTTTGCTCGCTGTTGTCTTGTTGAAAATGCAGAGGCGCGACTGTTTATCCAAGCGTAGTTGCTTGCACACGGTTTTCAATGTTTCAATTTAGTTTGCACGCTCCCTGTGCAGTGCTGGGGTGGCACCTTCACCTACGAAACCTGCTGCTTGCACGCCTCTTTGCTGTCGGACGCAGATGCGTCTCGCTTGGCACAGAGCAGGGGAAGCATTGTACAATTTATCAACAGTGTGGCAGGTGTGTTTGCATCAGATTGTCAGCCGAATGACGCTCAGGCAACAAACATGTTTTCTAGTGCCAACTCCGTTGCTCGCACTAACAAGGTCACAGCGTTGCAGAATCTGACCAACAATGCTGCTATGCTTGGAATGTTGTGCTTCCTTGTGTCCAGGACTTTAGGAGGGAACCTTTTAGGGACCCTTATAATCCCATTGCCATATAACCCTTGTAGAGTCATTATATAACCAATATAGCCCCTATGTTCCCAGCTTGTTCCCATAGTAGCCTCCATAAGCTTCAAGGATCCCTATTAGGGGTCTCTCCTAAAGTCCTCTGATTGTGTCTTGTACATGGCGACTAACGTGAAAAGTTTGTTCAGGATTTCGACTGCGGATGCTCTCGTCCCGATCTGGGGCCGCCAGCGTTTCAGGGTGGTTCATTCACATGGTGCAGCTCGATGCATCCAGATGATCTGCGAACAATGGCTCGGTTGAAGAGACTGGCGCATACATCAAGATTCACGCCATTTCATATTGTGATTGTGTAAGCATTGTTGTTGAGTGAGGGTCAGATCGATGACGAGTTTTCGTGTCTTTTGGCATGAGCAAAATAATATTGAATTTGGGCTACCAGGCAAGTTTCGTCAAGCAGTGATGCTGAATCAGGCTGGCATGTAGCTCTTTGCCCGACTGCTATAACGTTCCAGGCAACGGAGAATGAAGTACTCCTGAGCGCCAGGATTTGCGGCCCTTCTACATGCCCTTCCTGCAGCTCTCGGTGGCGACGCTTGCTGCTTGCCCGTTGGGAGCACTTTCCATGATGCTGCTGGATGCATCGCTGAAGATGTCCAATTCGAAGGCCGGGTGTGTTGTGCTTGGCACTCCTGCATGGGATGGAGACCTTGGTCAGTCAGGTGCCGCCTGATCTGCAGAAGATGCCAAGCTTTCTGAGGCAGGTGAGAGTCTGCCTCTTTCCTTTTTATTCAGGGTTTGCCCCAGCGGCCTCAGGCGCAGGGTCTACTTCCCTACGCTCAAGCTCTCAATGGCTGAGCACAGGGCCTTTTCAGTGGTTTGGTCGGTTTTACCGCTCTTGCTGCGCCCAAGAAAATGGGACGTTTTGTTCTCATGTCAGGATTGTTTTTGCTATCCTCTCATGGAATATATAGTCGGACGTCTGACTTTTGCATTCCTGTCTAGCTGCCCTCACATCTCGAGTCACTGCATGAGATCATGCGCCACACTTGTGCACAGATGCAAGTGGATCCTGTGTAGCCAGGGCGCGGGAGATGATGCGAGAGCTGATTGGATCCGAGTTGTCCCTAGTGGGCCTGGCAACTTCTGGCTGGATGCTCTTCAACCAGGCCCAGTTGCCTGAGCTCAGGCTCACAACAGGTTACAAAGGGCAAAGCTACACTTGTGTCAGATGAGCAACCTACGTGGAGCCGTGCAGCGTCGGCTTGGCGCACCGGGCACTGCCCGGTGCCTGCAGCTACCGCCAGCTCAAACGCATGCCGCGAGGCGCCTTCGCATGCCTTGTGAGACACCTTTGGTCCATTTTGGTCCACAGCATCCTCGTTTGTTGCAGGGTCTATGAGGCGATGACCAATGCTGTGAACTTCATACCGTTAAGTGTGGGCCTGGGCATGCTGAACCGATTTTTGTTGTAGGCATGCGTGCCACTTTTCATCCCTGCATTCATTGCAAGTGTCTTTTTTGGAGGGGCTAGGAAGTCTCAGAATACGATCGACTCTTGTGATATGCTATGGAGCCTGAAGAATTTCCGGCAGCAAGCACACACATAGGGAGCCTAGCACAATTTATTGGCTTTCAAAATTTAAATGCGACTAGAAGCGTTCGTTTGAAGTGGAACCAGCTGACACTTTACTGTTCGTGGGTTTCGGACAGAGGCAAGCTTTTTTCTTGACGGTTTTTATTTTGCTGTACTCCTCAATGGGGCTTCACTATTCTTAGCTCTAGTTGCTGGGGGCGAAAAAGCCATGGTGTCAGAATTGACCAAGCTGCTGCAAAGTTCGGGGTTGCGTTGATAAAGACAGTCCATTTGAAGCATAGGAAGGGAGCTTTTGCAGACACACTGGCGAACCTGCTCCCTTTGCACTCTCAGCCCTCTCCACCCTTGCTATGGCCAAAGCATTCGAATGGCAAGGCGTGAGCACCATCTCCCAAATTCTGTTGGACGACGGTGCATCGGTCATTCCCTGCAGTCTCGCACGTGCCGGCCTGCTGTTGCAGCTTGGGCTGCAGGCAGCACTTGCAAGGTAGTGCGAGGCATGAGCTTGGGGAGGCGTTTTGCGCGAGGCTTTTGGCACAGTCCATGCTGCAACAGACTGTCCTTCCGGAAGAGGTTGCGATCGCTCAAGTCCCAGGACAAAGCTGCGTGGGTCGATCCAAGGGATAGCAACCAGGCCACTAGACCAGAACTGTCGGATGCCCCGTGCACTTTCCAGGTTAGAAGTGGGGTTGTACTGGCTCAAGAACTCGCCTTGTTGGTTTGGGCCATGGAAGAAACTTATTTGTAAGCTTCCTGCCACCAGATGCCACACATTTGCTCAGACCTTGATGACTTGTCATCACTGTACGAAAAGAATAGATCATCTCGTTAGCCAGAAGAGAAAGTGTGTAGGCTTGAAAGGTTGTATCAGCTGATGATCGAGATTCCAATGTTCTGGAAGGTATGGGAAAGCCGAGGCTTGCGCAGGTCAAAAACATGGGAAAGCGCGGGACACGAAACACAGGAAATTGAGCCAACAGTGTTATCCTTTCTGCGCCGCATCGTCCTGAGATGAGACTGCAACCGTGAACAAACCATATTATGCGTACAGTGCTTTGCCTCTAAGCTCCGCCACCAAGCAAAGCTAGCAAAAGCGAAAGAGGGAGACACAGAGACAGAGAGACTGATTTGGACATCTTGATGAACAATACAGAGACGGTGCATCAATGGACGTAAAGGTTCAGATGGGGGGAACGTGAGAGGGCCAAGAGCCAGCAAAGCACCTGGGTTCATGCCGCTCGCATGGGAGGCATCTTGTCGACAATGCTTCCTCTTGGAAGCCCTTTGTGTTGTGGAGCCTGTTGTACGAGAAAGCCCCGGATAAAGCTCGCAGCATAGGCAAATGCAACAGATCATGTAGTCACTGTGATATGTTCTACGTTTGCACTTGTATGTGTTGGATTGTTAGCTGCCTGCTGTTTCCACACCACCTACCGAGACTTACAAAGTGTTGCCCAACTAGACAGGTAAATGATGACCTCTGGTTCTGTCGTGGGAATTGGCATTTTGGCTCACTTGTTTTACCCTGTTTCCTTTCTGTTTGTCCGCTTGTCTTCTCACGATTTGGGTGTATGATGTGCGTGTGCATGATGTGTTTGGCTTCTTCACTTCACGGCCACGTCTTCATGTAATGGGGTGTGGTCGAGCATGTGCTGATTTTCAACAATGTGCTGAACAAGGAAAACTGGGATGGGACGGAGACAAGGCCTTTTTAATTGACACGGCAATCATCTTTGACAAGCTGAAGTGCTTTTTGGCAGCGCCATTTTCCTTCCGATCCCGAAGCCCTCCATGGCCGGATTTTTTCTCCTTTCATGTCCTCAAATTCCTTCCTCACCTGTTGCCCAATCTTGGGTGCCATCGGGCAACAATGAACAAACTCCTGCATGAGGCTAAGCACTTGACAACTCGGGAATCATTCTGCTACAGCATACCGAGGTCATGCAAGCTTAGTATCAACAGTAGTTTTTGATTTGCTGATCTAAGCCCTAAACCCCAAATCCTAAACCCAAAATCTAGAAACTGAAGGGTGCCTAGAAATCTCCCACTCGTGATGTAGGGTACCATATGAGCCATAATCTAAACTCCTAGTATCTCCTTAGTAGCCCGTATAATAGGGTTTAGGGTTTAGGCTCTAAACCCCTACTATCTCCTTAGTAACCCCTATAAGTGTGCCCGATATTATTTCCCTATATACCGCCCCTTTATAGAGTTCAGACTCTAGCTCATATTGGGAGTTCTACTTTCTGGATCCTCCCAGGGGGTTGAGTGACAAGCGCAGCCCGAGGATCTGAATCGCCACACCCCAGCAACCTGCTTTCTCACAAAATGGGGGTACTCCAGGGTTCTTACCCCAGTGTCAGCAGCGCCCTCAACGTCTGGCTTGTAAGCGTGCGTTAGGACACGAGCCAATGGCTGGCCCGTGTGAGCACCAAGAACTGGCTCAAAAGGAATCCTTTAAGGCAAACGCTTTGGTCTCTATACTGAATCGTCTCTAGTCTCTAGCCCTGTGTCTTTAGATTTTGGAAATTCATTCTCTGTGAGGCTGCAAGGCTTCATTTTGCTCAACGTCTCTTCGGGTTATACGCTTTCCGGCAGCCTGCAAACCAAAAATGGCCACAGAGCAACGACAGCCAAACGCCAAAGCTCTTTTCATCCCGAGTGAGCATAAAAGGCTCCAGTTCGGTTGGATGGAGTTTTGGCTCCTTCTACGGCACATTGACTTCTCTTGGCTTACCATGACTCCAAACAGAACATAACCATATCGGCACTCCTGGAGTTGGACCGCAATGTTATGGGGATTTGTTTGGGTTTTCAGATCAGTGTGGGGGTGGTAATATACCCTAAGCCCTATCCATCCCATGAATCCCTACATCCACCTCTACAACCTAAAGCCCAAAATCCTCTTTCCTTTTTGGGCTTCCATGTTAGTCCTGGAAAGCCGCTTCAGGCACCCGGAGCTCTTTGTCCCGGATGCGAATTGTGACCTCCATAGGCCTATCACCCTGCACTAGAGGGTAGGTTTGGGGGGCCTGTAATTTCTCAGGCTTTTTGGGGGGCACTGATGGTATTCTGATATACTACAGGGATGCAGGATGTTTAGCATCAGCCATAGGGATCCCCAACAGCTGAAAGTAGGCATTGTCTGTGGGCCCAAAGTAGGTACTATGGAAGACATCATCCCATGGCATCAAGAAGCATACTATAGAGCCAGCTTTGGCGCGGCAAAGGCGGGGTAGGTGGGCGGGGCATGCGGGGCAAAGGCCTCTTGCGGTCTCACCGCTGAGACGGACATCATGGACAATTCTTTGGAAATGACAGTCTGGTTTCGCGTGACAAAAGTGTTCACAGTTTTCACGCCTCTGCAATCCATTGTGGTAGGGGATGCTGGTGAGCTGGTTGCAGCTAGGGCCTGGGGCCTGTTTGGGCTCGTTATGTCCTGCTACAAATGTAGGCGCAGCAACATGAAGCTGATCTGGCCACCCCATCTGGGAAACCAGGAATGCACCTGTGCAGTTGACCTGCTTGTGGTCTATCACAAGCTGAAGGGATGAAGATGCCTGTGACAAACCATAAGCCCGCACCTGGGCATGTGCCCGGGTGCGCTGCAGCCACTCTTGCCCTGAAGGAAGAGGGAGAGAGAGCGAAGCAAAAAATCAAGTAGGCGCTCATTTCATCTTTGTTCTCGGCGTACGTAGACCAGGGCCAGGCGTTTTCTACCAAATACTGGACGGCCGAGAGGGAACACATGCTTTTCACAACCAGGTGGAACCAAAAGCCCCGATAGACTCAAACTTAGCCCGCCAAATGGTGGAATGCTTTTTTTTCACTACTCCGGGCGGCCCTGGTTACGACACCTGACTCAGACATGTACACGCTCGGGGCGTAGCCATTTCTGAATGAATGCCCCGTTCCACCACCTAGGAATGTCTGCAGGAGACGGAGTGGAACATGCCTTGTTACACCTTGTTGATGAAAAGGACATTGCAGAAAGACTCACTTGCGGACCAACGTCGGTCGTTTCAAAAGACAAGCAGATTCACTGTCATGAAGATGACAGCATATCTCATCCCACTCCAACCCTGTCAGGTGTTCAATGGGCAGAGAAATTCTGCATCACCCAAGGTGAACGCTGTAAACCGGTTCCGCCCCAATCCGTGTTGGGAATGCGCAAGCACTTTACCGACTTTACCCAGCAAAGTGGCCCACCTGGTCCCACAGATCCAAGATAATCCAAGCAAACAGCACACAGACTCGCGAAGCACTGCGGGAGCCAGACGGACAAAGAACAACAGATAGGTTCGGCGAGCATGCTCTGGAGCAGCCACTGCCTCCCAGAAAGCTGGAATGCAAACCGCAAGAAGCGATAGTGGAGCTTGAACTTGTACGGTCAGGTGCTCAGGGTGAGAAACCCTCTCATCTGTCAAGAGAAAACAACGACAAGAAGCTGTCAGGGAGGAGGGCTAGACCTGCACTGAAACGGTGGAAGTAACGTTCGCAGACAGGTGCTGCAACAGTAGCTTGGTCATACGCGTGGGTCCGTTGAGCATCAAACTTTGGGAGGTGATCCAGCATGAGTCGAGGAAAACACCTTGCCTTGAAACTAGAGGAGAAGAAGAGAAAGGTTGTTCCAAAGGAAAGGATTTTTCAAAGCCTCGCCTACTAGGAGTCATGACGAGCCAATGTCAGCAGCAGTTGCCCCGGATGTAGTGGCATTGAAATAGTTTCGTGCTGACTGAATTGGAAATGGCGCATTTTTCAACTGTCAACCTGTTCCTGGGGTCTGATGGCTTGTACTTGATTGAACCCAGAAAGATTGAGGCTTTGCCAGCTTTCCCTGTTCCAGGCCTCCGTTCAGGTGTCCGCGCATGCTGCTTGGGTGGGTGCCGCTCCTCAAACTGCGTTCGCTCTAGAACTCTGGTGCAGGGTGGTGAAGCCTGTGCTTAACTTGCTCCTAAAAAAACACCTCTCCTGAGCACGCATGCTTCGTCTTCACCCCACCCACTGAAGAAGGGTTTGCTGGCACACCGCCCCTTCCATCCCACCACCAGCCCAGGAAAATGAACTAGGCTCCAACCAAAGCCCGCAAAAGGTTGAACATGGAGGGCGTCAGGCAGACCTTGACAGAATAGTGAAGTATTGATACCGTCTGTAAGCTCCCGGGCGGGACAGTGAGGTGCGAATCTCGAGAATTCCACGGCCTTCATTTAATTGCAACTTGTCTAGGCATGTCAAGCCTTCATCTATCAGAGGGTTAAGAAAATGCATCTCGGACCGGAAGACTTCGAGCAAGTAAGTAATCAATCTTGAAACGGGCGCCAGGGTGTTGGCAAGTGGCCGCAATCGGCGTGCTCAAACATGCTTTGTGAGCAGGTTTCAGGGTTGACCGCCAAGCCACGGTGGACTTTAGTCTGCGGCCCTTGATGTAAGAACGTTTCACTTCCAAACTGCCATCGTCGTTTTTGGGTGTGGCAAGGCGCGCTTGATGTTGGACAAGAAAAGTCCTGAGGTTTTCACATTCAGTGCAAGGGTGTTAGGAACAGATCTGGAGTGCGAGGCTTCAGATTGTCTCATCTTGCACGAAGACCGGGGTATTGAAAGCTACCAAGGAAGAGCCACAGCGAGACGAAAACCACACTTTCGCTTGCTTTCACTCAAGCTGAAGTCAATACTTGCCCAAGCAGGCAGTATACAATTGGATTGCAGGCAGTCACATCTCACCATGTCACGAACCGACAGTGCAGATGCTCCTGACTGATGTATCAGTTGGGTCATACAGTATTTCATGTCCTGTCCAATGCGTTGTGGCACGGATCTTGGCCCACGAGGAGTCCCTCCTGGGCCAGGGATGGAAGCCCGCAGCTTATTGCAAGCAGGGGAGGCAAGCCTTCGAGACTTGGCTGGCAAATTCTTTGCTAGGCGGCATTGCCCAACGTGCTCACCTTTTTGCCGCTGACTTGTCAGGCAAGGCTTTGGACACGGAATGCAAGGCATCGGGGCTTCAGGCACTGGGCCTGCTGATGGCCTCTCCATGGCCAATACCGGAAGTCCTAGATCTGCTGAGCTATCCTGGCCGGCTGGTGCTGCCAGCCAGCTCCTGAGTGGCTTTGGCAGCGCTGCAGCTTTGCTACTGCACTGCACTCTTGAGGTTGCCAATGCCATGCAAACCTTGTTGGAGCTGCCCCAGGCAAGCTTGCTTCTTGGAGTTGTTTTAATCCCTTTCCTCATTGTTTTCTTCCGTTTCTTGTTTCTCCATAACAATCAAGAGAGCTCAAGGGAATTCAAGGGAAGCTCAGTGTCCGCAGAGCCATACATACATTCGAAGGTGCCTTCTCGTGTGCTTTCCACCACAAACTCAACATGCCCGATATTGAATGTGGTTCTGTGGGCATTACCACCCCCAGGCCTCAGCCGACTTCTGGCAAAGGTAGCAACTAGCTAGAGCGCACTCTCTCTCCGCCTCTCGGTGTCTCTCTCTTTCTTGCTCTCTGGCATTGGGTTGGGTTATCACTGATTTCAGCGCATTGGTGGCAGTGCAGCGCATTGCGACTTTGGCTTGGCGTCAGGAGCATTCACTGTTAGAGAGAGCTCTGACAACGGCAGCCGGCCACAGCGGGAGCAACGCTGAAGCCAGAAGCTCCTTTGACCTACAGGTTAATGGTGCCGTTAGGCAGGTGCCTGTTTTGAGAGATTTTTTGTTTGAGTTGGCCAGCTATGGCCAGCTTGTCTTACAGGAGAGTGTAGCCTGTTTGATAGCATCAGGTTTGAGATTTTTCAGCGCCTGGGTCTCGATGCCCAGATGTTTGCGCGCTCACAATCCGTAAAACGTGCAGCAGCTCAAGTACACCAAACAAGTCCGCATGGACTTTAGACACTTGAATGCGCACCTGCGATGCAAATTGCAATGGTCTAATTTGTGGTGCGTCTAAGCGTTGGGGGCCAAGGTCACAAAGCTTTAATGAGGCAAGATATGCAGTTCAGAGCCTTGCGTGTTTGTCCGAGCTTTTATGCACAACATAATGTTCTCCGAGGTATCCCTCACTATTGCACCCTGCAAGTACCCGCAAGGAACAACTCTAACTATGAAAGCCATTCGCTGCTTCGAATACAGGTAGTGGGAGCTAGGATTCACCTGCCAAGAAGAAAATCCTTGACTCCGTGTGTAACACCGTTTCTATATTAATGGCATTGTTATTCAACGCAAGACTTCTCCGGAAAGATACTGCCGGCAATGTTAGAAAGGGTTTAGCTCCTGCTTGCTTGTCAGGAGCAGTGGCATCGCTAACAGTACAGCAAACAAAACAATCGGCATTTGGAAGGCTCATGGTACCAGCCGAGTGTGCTAAGTTCACGTAATTGCAGCACAAAGCTGAGTATGCTGACAGATAGGCATGTTTGCTAAATGCGACATCTTTGTGGTCGTCGCACCGTGTTTTTTTCCTTTCTGTCTGCTGCATGGTTGGAGGCAAAACAAAGAACCAGAATGGTCTCTCTTGCCAGCACGTTTTTTTGTTTTGCGGCGGCAGGTGCGTGTGTGATCCCCTGAACACTGCATGTCCCCACCCAGGTTATATTTTCCGAGTAAATCCGTACCGAGAGATGGTCAGTGATATGGTACGCTACACGAAGCTTCCATTTTGTGGTTTACGGCCATTTATGCGAATGGTGGCAGACATTGGCAGAAATGCGTTGCAAGCGGGCTGTGCAACCAACGCCGCTTTCTTGGGGGACGCAGAGGCCTGCAAATTCACCTTCGTCGAAGGAGGCCGCATCAGCATTGGCAAGGCTTGCCGTGTGTTGTGTCCCGTTGCCTAGAGCCTGACAAAGGCCCACACCTGGGCGACTGCGCATTGTGGGCATCTGCAAGCCTCCGTGACCTGTCCAGCTTGTTCAGACCGCCCAAAAGCAGTAACCACACATGGCAGCTGCAGGCTTGGCTGGAGTGCAGACCAGAGCTATCGCCTTCGAACCACTTCCGGATGCTGCCACCCTGTTTCAGCAGAGCTATGGAAGCAGAGTTAGAACCGGCACCTTGAGTTTGCCTGCAACCCTGTTCTTGAGGAGCGTGGTGGAAAATGGCCTTTCTGCCTACGTAAACGTTCGAAATGCAGCTCTTGGACAGATGAGCGGTCAGACTGAGCTTATACACTTTCGTGGTCACAACGGCCAGGAGCACTTCTGGGCATGTTCTGATTGTTATCAAATTGGTCCGCAAATACCTTAGTTGAAGGCCTACAGTATGCTCTGCAGGCAACTGTGAATGGACGTGATTTTCCATCACAAGACAGACGAGAGGCATGTCAGCAGTTGCGTTGCACATGCCACATGACATGCTCAGCAGTTCATCCCTGTGCAGGTCGTGACCGTCCCTGCTTTGGAGCTTGCATTAGATGATGAAGTTCCAGCGAACTGGCCGCATATTGACGCACTCAAGCTGAGTGTCAATGGTGCTGAACGGAACACGCTTGCGCCGACCTAAGTCGTGAGCCTTTGTGCGCCACTGCAGCGTCCAGCCAGCTACACAGGCTTCTGTGATTTGAGGCTGGTGCTCGGAAGTTGCTATCCAAACGGCGGATATGTTCTGTGCTTTGGAAGCATCATATAGCTTGCAGCTTTGTTTGCTATCCTCTGCAATGTGAGGTCTTGATGCACGCGACGAAGTGCAAGAGGCCCCTTTCTGAAGTCTTGGGCTTGCTTGAGTTGCCTGGCTTGCTGAGGGGAAGGCGTCCGCCTTCTGAAGATCCAGCTCCAGACGCCAACGTGTCCAAGCTGCTGGTCAGCTGAGCTGTCCGCGTAAGGTGGAACCTACCCTTTTTGTGGTCAGCAGCAGTCGTCTTCCAAGCACAGGTTTGCCTTTGACTTGATGACCTTCCTCCACGAAGGGACCTGGAGATGAATTGGAAGAGATTTGACCGTTCAAGTTTTTGCAAAGAAAGTTCTGAATTTGATGCCAGCGCAAGAGGCAAGTCCGCAGCTATTTGTGGAGCATGGTAGATCACGTCGTGCATGGTTTATGCATTGGCTATTTGTTTTTTAGGAGCCACCTGTCAGTTTGAGCATGATTGAATGGACATTTCTTGACAGAGCCTTGGGTATGTGTCTTGCCAACTTTCATGCAGCGAGGTGTCGAGGTTCTCCATTTTACCAACATTCTTGCTAATACCAGCGCGAAGGCTGTTTTATGGGGTGTGCTGATAAGGGAAGATCTTCTAACACCAACACAGTGCAGTCGGCACCTATAGCCTATGGCCAACGAACCAGCAGATCTCATTTTCAACGCCGCGAGTTGCTGTAAAAAAGTTAGTGCAACGTTTGCGCAGGATCTGGTAAGCTGAGGGTATCCGAGGCAGCTGTTTCCACAGCAGCATGGTCCCATGGTGCAAGGCATTGAAAGACTGAAAGCCTGCTCACAACAGATCACTGCATGTGCGAAGCGACAGGAATGGAAGCAGGCCTTGCAGCTGCTGACGGACTTTGTTTCCGTCAAACTGCAGCCGGATGTTGTGATATGGAATTCAGTTCTGAGTGCCTGTGGACGGGCAAATCGTTGGGGAATTGTTCTAGAGCTGCTGAACAGCATGAAAGTGCATGTGCGGCCAAGCATTGTGTCTTATGGCACAGCTATATCAGCCTGCACAGATGCTTGGCAGACAGCGCTTCATCTGTTGGAAGAAGTGCTTCTTGTCGGTCTGGAGTTGAATGTGCTTGTGTGCAGTGCTGCAATCACTGCTTGTGGATGGGAGTGGCAACGAGCTCTCCAGATCTTCCAAGAGATGTGGCTCCTGGCCGTGGTCCCGAATTTGGTGACCTTTGGAGCTGCCATCACTGCATGTGAGCATGGCCTAGAGTGGCTCAAAGCTTTGGAGCTCGTGCACCTCATGGATCAGGCAGCTTGCCAACCAAACGTTCAAACGTCCTGTGCTGCCATGAGCGCTTGTGGAAAGGCTGGCCGCTGGGAGCACACACTTGCCCTACTGAGTAAGCTGCCAGACCAGAAGATCGAGATTGATTCATATGCGTGCAGCACAGCTGTTTGGGCTTGCAGCCGCGAGACCGGTCCTGCAGGATGGCAGAAGGCATTAGCCGTCTTCTTTGACTTGTGTGTATTGGGGGTGAGACCGAATGAGGTGGCCTTGGGATCTGCTATAGCTGCATGTGAAGTGGCAGGTTGCTGGGAAACTGCGCTTCAGCTGCTCTGGAGTGAGGGAGCCGGGTTGGTCTTGGACACGGCATGCATGAATTGTGCAATCAGCGCATTGCAAACAGGCAGCCAGTGGCAGCTCGCATTTTGCTTGTTTGAGTCCCTATTGCCCAGTGTGAGACCCAATGACCTCACTTACAGTGCTCTCATGCGCGCTTGCAGACGAGCATACCATTGGGAGAGAGCGCTACATGTCTGGGCGGCATGTGAGCGAGTCCTGAACCCAAGCCTTCTCACTTGGAGTGAAGCTGTGTCTGCAGCTGAGTGTGGTGGGAAGTGGGAATTTGCACTTCTTCTTGCCAGCAGCTGTGCTGATTCCAGTCTGAAGCTGGACAGTATCCTCTGCACAGCTGCTGCAAGCGCATGCCACAAATCGAGTCGATGGCGAGAGCCTTTGCATTTGCTCCACCTTATGCGCATTCATGGCCTCCGAGCGAGTTTGCTTGCATGCAATGCTGCCACAGCGTCATGCGGATCATCACCTTCTCGCTGGAAGCGGGTCTTTCAGTTGTTGGCGTGGACGGACCGATTTCTGAAGCGTGATGCCGCAATTCAAGCTGAGGTGGTATCCATCTTTGAGAGTACAAAGCAGGGACGCTGTCTGGGCCCCCTGCTGCAAGAGACAGCTGAACTGACTCTGTCAGCACTGGGTCGTGACCACAGAAGGCACGGCATGGGACGGAATGGGACCTGGAGGTTCAGGCCAGTTCCAGATGGGGAAGGACATGGAAAAAAAGAGATTGGAGCTTTTAGCTGATTTGCCTGCCGAGATCCTAGAACTTGCTGTTTTTCCACACGTACGTGTGCAAGCTAGGCCACTCCGTTAGCTCCTTCACTTGCAGAGTTCCGCAACCAAGAAACATGGATGTCTACGAGCACAACGATGCCGTGACTGGACCAGGCTTGCTGGCCCGCACGTCCACATCACTTCTAGACATTTCAGATTTTCATGATCGATAGCCTTGTCAAAGTTGACCCTTGAAGACAGGACGAGGTCGTGTTCAACGTCTAGCTTCGGCAACGGAGATGGACGCGATTTTCGATGATCCCAAACTTACAGAGCAGGCCAATTTTGTCATGTCATGTTCAGAAGGCTTTGGCTGCTGTGCGCGAGTTGCATCCAGGTCTACTTCTTGGCTGTGTCCCGAGACAGTCACTGCGGCCGTGCGCAGCGACATTTCCATGCAGCAGCTGGAAGGCCTTCTGACGCTCTGCTGGAGGACAGATGCATGGAAGGCAACTGTTATACAAAACGGTTCAAACTATGCGTGGTCGTCGCACAATGTGCTGCAGGACCCTGGCCACTGAGATCCGCAAGCTACCCGGCATTCTGCGAAGGGAGACAGCAAACCGACCATCCAAGTGGACGTGCAGTCCCAATGAGTTGTACAGCATACTGAGAGCATTATGTGCTCCAAAGAAGGTGCTTTGAAAGGCATGCGCTTTTAAGATCATGTACCTTTCAGTCGGTACCTGTGCAAGGGTTGTACAGGCAGCGTCAGTCGACGCAGACACACGAGAGACAAGCTTGTAGCAAAAGCCAATGGCTCTATCCCTTTGCCTTGCTCAGACCAGGTCCGCGCACGTCTTTTTGAAAGGCGCTTTTATTCCTCCCTCGTGTTGCCAGTCCACCCGGGATGCTCGCGGCGCTGCTTAGTGGGCACCTCGCCAAGTACACAAAGGCTTGGCCGACCAGTGCGACATGTTGGCTGTGAAGCCACTGGAAGCAACAAACAAGTGCTTGCCTTTTGCTTGGCATCGCAGGAAGCGCTGCTGAGCAGCCCTCTTTTCTGCAGATTTGCACAAGAGTCCTCCAGAAGAGCGCAGGGTGCCCTGAATGAGGTTTTAGCCTGAGGACGTCAAGCATGGCTGTGGTGCTCAAAATCATTTCAAAGGCCCTCTCAGATCCTCTGCGCCTGACAGTCAGGCCATGAGATCTGCGCAGCCGGTGATCGAGAAAGCTGTCGAAAGGAGCCAGCAGACCCTTAGGCTGGCACTGCAAGTCCACATGCACTTTTGCCATTGACATTTTTTGGGTGGTGCTTTTGTGATGTGCTGTCCTTGTAGGGAGCTGGAGCGAAAAGCCGCCAACGGATCGAAGAAGTAGCAGGGAGCGAGTCCCTGTTTCAGTGAAGTCTCCGGGAGTTGTAGTCGGCGTCAAGTCATGGGCCGTTGCGACAGTGGAACAGCCAGTGGCCCAACCTTCCCGAGCCTCACCTAGCCGAATGTTGGCCGGGTAGCTGCTGAGTTTTAGACTCTTGATGCAGCATGTTAGGAGGAAAAAGTCACTGGAGTGCAGCCGCTTCAACATGGCTCCGCTTGACTTGCACCTACCTCACCGTTCAATCAGCATCTGCCCTGAGTTCATGATACTCAGCGAATACTCGCTCGCCCATCTTTGCAGCCAATGATTATGATCCAACATGGTCCAAGATTCGCGACAGTGAGGTTTGCATGAGGTGCAGATTTTTTCAAACACATCTCAGAAGTCACTCAGTGCATGTTGTACGATGCCACCTCCTGATGCTTGCAATGTAGTTGGCTGCAGAGCTTGAGCCAGCATGCTGGTCGACAGCTCGCCATGTGCGCCCGTCAGCCTTTTGTGACATGATTCTGATATCATACGGATTCAATTCCCCCAGCATCCTTGCAAGAGCAGTAGGAAGGCACTCTTGCAGCGACAATGCACCGTCGACGAAGATGTATGCAACATCTCAACAAACCAAAACTTCACATTTCCTGTTTCCGACATAGAGACCCACATGTGGTTCATGCAATTTGCGGATCCAATGAACTTCAGCTAAAAGCTTTTGCATGGATCTTCGGACCAATTTGTTTTTTAGTCTTTGATTCACAAGGATTTCTTTTTCCCGAATGCGTAGCAGAAGGGTTCCCGTTTTAAAGTTGGGGTCCAGGGGTCCAGGAGGCGACGCGAGGTCGTTGCGTTGTGTTCGCAA